GGAGGTGTGCGGGAGAGGATGAGGAGAGACAGACAGGAGAGAGAGAGAGAGAGGAGAGACAGTCAGGAGAGAGAGAGGAGAAACAGTCAGGAGAGACAATCAGGAGAGAGAGAAGAGACAGCCAGGAGAGAGAGGAGAGACAGCCAGGGGAGAGAGAGGAGAGACAGCCAGGGGAGAGAGAGAGATGAGAGACAAGCCAGGGGAGTGAGAGAGAAGAGACAGCCAGGGGAGAGACAGCCAGGGGAGAGAGAGGAGAGACAGCCAGGGGAGAGAGAGAGGAGAGACAGCCAGGGGAGATAGAGGAGAGACAGCCAGGGGAGAGAGAGGAGAGAACGCCAGGGGAGAGTTTGAGGAGAGTCAGCCAGGAGAGAGAGCAAGGAGAGACAGCCAGGAGAGAGAAGGAGGAGAGACACTCAGGAGACAGCAAGGAAAGACAGCCAGAAGAGAGAGTAGAGAAAGCCAGGGAGAGAGGAGAGACAGCCAGGAGAGAAATAGACAGCCAGGAAAGAGAGTGAGGAGAAACAGCCAGGGGAGAGAGTGATGAGAGACATGCAGGAAAGAGAGCCAGGAGAGAGAGAGGGAGACAGACAGAGGGAGAGACAGCCAGGAGAGAGTGAGGATGATTCTCCAATCCATGTTAAATCTACTGGCAGGATCAACAAGTAATAAAACTATGTTACAGAGGGGACTGACAGTTCAATATGGAATGTAATCTTAAGTCCCGCCTCCTCAACTATTGAAGTAAGCCTGTGTTACTGATTTGTTTTTGCTTTGTTACTTGGACCTGACTTCCTGTAACTGCAAATCTCAGACAAGGAGAGTCAGGCCCCAGTAACAAAGTAAATCAGATGGGAACAGAAGAGGCTTCTCTGACTAATAACAGTAACAACGGGTATCTTGTTATGTATGTCGTTAGGCAGAATGTTTACTTCAAACTGAATAAGGCTCATTTTAGTCTCCACAGCGTATATTGCTTTGCCCCCTCAGTACCTCGAGGAGGTTGGGTTGTGAGAGAGTTAGGTGACACTTGCAGCGATGCTGAAGAGAAGAACAGAAATAAGGGGAAAATAAAAACTGAACAACGAAGCACTGATACTGGTGGTCTTCCCTTCATGTCTTCATCTGTGTAACTCCTCTTCTTTCACGCCTTACCACAACCTAACCTCCAAGCACGATCATGAAAATGTGAAGTGATGAAGCCTAGGAAGGACACAAGTACTACATATCATCCTTCAGAATATGCCTAAAGTAAACCTGACCCCTATGCAAATTAAACTATTTATATACAGTATATTCCGGACACGCAAAAGCACTTTAGAACAAGTCCTCAATTACCTCTGTAGCTACAGGCATTGTGGAGAAATTAAATGTCACAACAAAGGCCTTGAAATCTCAGCTCCTCCCCTTATTTTCTATGGCAGCAGTGACTTGGCCGCCTGCCAGCTTTCTAAAGTAAAGTAACATTAGGTGTTTTAACCTGTAGAAAAACATGACTGATACCCCAGTTCAGAGTCTCTGTTGTGTGATCTTTGAGAATGAATGACTTCACAGCACATGCAGCTAGTGAGGTCGTGAGAGTTTGTCCATAGCCGGGGCACAGGTGCACTTTAAACCGTGCTGAGAGTTTCCAATCCATTCTATATGTAGAATGCAAATCAGCACATTCAGTTCACAGCGATGACTTGGTTATCACAGGCAGTGTGGGGGTAGTTGGAGATCTTCCCTCCAGATTTACAGACGCCAACAAAGAACCAGAGAAGGAAGTAAACCCCGCCTCTCTTAAAACGTAGCTTTTAGTTTATATTTGAAGTTCTATGTTTGACATGCAGGATCTGCGCGGCTTCACCGCGTTCCTCGAATGACTTGCCCAGACCCAACGTCCCTCCTGCTAGATGGTGGTTGACGTGTTCCCAGAAGTGGACATGACCGAGGAGCTGCGGACAAAGTGAGGCAGGTTTTCCTTTCTGATGATGCCCTTGCTGGCCAGGATCCTGAGGAAGCTGCGTCTGAACTTCTGGCCGATGAAAGCGTAGAGAATCGGGTTGATGCAGCTGTGGGAGTAACCGAATATTTCGGTCACGGGGAGGGCCACGTCCAACTTGTTCCGGAAGTCACAGGTCTCGTTGATGTAGCCTGTCCTCATGAGCGAGTCCACGATCACGGTGATATTGTAGGGAAGCCAGCAGACCAGAAAGACCAGGACGACTGCAAAGATGACCATCATGGCTCGCTGCTTTTGGTTGTTTTTGGTCTGAAAGAGAGTTTTGATGGTGAAGCCGTAGCAGAAGAGCATGATAATCAGGGGTATGAAGAATCCGGCCAATTGACGTCCGATTGTTATGATGATCTTCCAGTGCACTGTGTTCTCAGCTCCAATGTCCTCATGGCAGACTAGACCGTGTTTAGGGGTCTTGAACACAGTCTTGAACAATATGGTGGGGAAGGATATAGCGAAGGAAAATATCCAGATGGCGGCAGTGATATGCTTGACCAAGTGCCTCTTCTGCGTCACAGACTCTGTGGCGCGGACGATAGCCAGGTAGCGGTCCACGCTGATACAAGCCAGCAGCAGTATCCCGCTGTAGAAGTTGACTTCCTGCAGTATACACACCAATTTGCACATGGTGACCCCAAAAATCCATTCGTGGGCCTTGTAGGCTGCCCAGAAGGGCAGGGTGAAGGCGAACAGCAAGTCGGCGATGGCCAGGTTCAAGAGGTAGAAGTCCGTTGAAGACCTCTTCAGCTTGTTGTGTCTGATTACTACAATGACGAGGGTGTTGCCGACTATATTGAGAAGGAAGACTATGGAGTAAACCACAACATATATATATCTGTTCACGTCCTCCAGAGGCTGGCAAGGGGCTGCATCAGATGATGGGTAATAGGGGGCGGATGTATCCAAGGAATAATCCTCAATCCCTTCCAGATCCACGTTTATTGAGTTGGCCATGTCTGTGTATGGAGCCTGCAAGGTGATAGACAAAAACAATAAAATGAAGGAAAAACGTAAAGAATAAGATTGCGTTCGCTCAACAGGAATATATTGTACATTTTATTTCTTTATAAATCGCCACAACATTTTAATTCAAAGCAGATTTCAATTTGAGGAATGTTTTGCAATGAAGGAGTGACAACGATAACTCACTCTATTAGAGCTGCAGCTAACGATTATTTTCAAAATCGATTAGTTGGCCGATTATTAAGTTCGATTAATCGGATAAACAATTAAAATAAAGTTTAAAAAATTGCTCCAGTGATGGGACTACTAGTTTGTATTGAGGTTGTAGTCCATCACAGGAGCAAGCTTGGAGCGGTGGAAGTAAAAAAGAAAAAAAAGATAGTGTGGTGTGCAATATTGTGAAATGGAAAGTGTAAAATTATACAGTAATGAATGCAGAATGGCACCGGCTATAGAGGACTACAAAACCCAGTGAGCTGTGAACAGGGCCAACTGATCGGAAGCCGATTAATCGATTATTGAAAAAGTTGACAACTTTTTCAATAATCGATTATAATCGATTATGTCGATTAGTTGTTGCAGCCCTACACTCTATGGAGTGTTGTCACCTTAGGCTCATCCAGGGCCGGATTTCCTACAAGGCCAACCAAGGCCTGGCCTCGGGGCAGCAGGGAGTAGATGGGCAGCAGGGGTGTGAAATTCCTATCTCCCGATGCCCGGGACATGCAGTTCCAGGCGCCGGGCGGGTAGTTGTTTTCTACAATTAGCCCCGCTTTGGGCAAGCAGAGCAAAATGTAGAGCGGGGAAGCCGCCGCTGGTTTTGTACAAGTGATATCAACGATGTCGCCGGGATCACTTGTATGCAGCCTGCAGGTCTGCCATTCTCCATGGGGGGCGGGTTGGTGGGTAGGGTGGCGCATTGAGGAACCTGGCCTTGGGGCAACAGAGAGAGTAAATTCGGCCCTGGGCTCATCTACTGATTTGGACAACAAACACCACCTCCTCCTCTGCTCATTTTTAGTACATAGGTGGTAGGCGTTCTGTACTTCACAGAAGATAGCTGGGAAACCTGATAACACTGTTTAAGATTCAGTGCTACATGAGTGACATGGACACTGGAATACTGGCAAGATCACCAGATGTTTGGCTGTAATTGCAATAAAAAGATCCTCTGAACCCTGGTAGAAAAAGGCTTGTCTAGGCTAAGTTGATGTAATCAGTCTGCTGCAGGCAGGAAGAAGCATTTCCTCAGTCTCCTCTCCTCCAGTGATCAGTCTGCTGATGGCAGTAGGAAGCATTTCCTCAGTCTCCTCTCCTCCAGTTATCAGACTGCAACATTATAACTTTGTAGCAAGTCTCAAGGGGAAAAGCTGCAGCAGGGGCTGATCTGTCAGACAGCCAAGAACTTTACAGCATCAGAAACAACATGGTCATGTCACCTCTAAGCTTGCAACATGACCGCGCATCAGTGCACAAAACAAGGCCCATAAAGACATGGATGAGCGGGTTTGGGGTGGAGGAACACTGCAAGGCCGGCCTTCTCGTCCAACATCAGTACCTGACCTCACAAATGGTCCAACATTCCCATAGACACACTCCTAAACCTTGTGGACGCCTTCCCAGAAGAGTTGAAGCTGTTATAGCGGCAAAGGGCGGAGCCAACTCAATACTGAACCCTACGGACTGAGACTGGGATACCATTAAAGTTCATGTGCGTGTAAAGGCGTCCCAATACTTTTGGCAATATAGTGTGTATATATGTGACGCCAGGTCCACTTTATCCCCGGTGAGGAAGACACGGTTGCTCCACCAGCCAGGCTTTGTATAAACAAGCACATTTCCTGGCACCTGTGATGTAACTTGCACTTGTGAAAGAAAAGGGTGAATTCCTATTTCATTTTCTCTCACCATTGCAGCTTGATGAACTCATCTCTTCGAAACATTGTGACATTGTCTTTCCCAAGCAATCAGAAATGCGGCTGTCAATTTACTGTTAACATTACGCCCCCACCCCCCCGAATGTGGTCAAATGACCAATGCGATAGTTCCTGAAGGGCCACTTACATTCATCACCTTCACAGCCGTGTTTCACCTTTGCTTTTTATTCCTCGTTCTCTCGTCTTATTTAACGGAAGAATTTTCAGAGTTTTACTTGATTACGCCTAATTTGCATAACTTAAAGGAGAACTATGAGGTGAGTGATTTACACTCATCCTCATAGTTGGAGCGACCTGTGACAATGAAACTGTCACACTTCGGCTCTACAGATCGGGAAGTGAGCGAACACATACCGTTGCTCGCTCACTTCTTGATCATCTCCCTGCAGAGAGTCGTGACTGTCAGTCACTGCTCCCACAGGGATTCTCCCCCTCCCCGCTCCGATCCTCCAGCGCTGACTGGCGGAATGGACGGGGGAGGGGACGGGTACAGCTGGCTCTGTCTCCAGATAGGCAGAACCAGCTGTCACTCACGCAGCTGGGTGGATCTCGAAGCTGGGTGGATATCGACAGTAATGTCGGGATCCGTCCCGGCTGTGGCGGTCTCAGTATATCTCGAGCTGTCACGGGAGGAGGTTAGTTTATGTCCTCCCGTGACCCTTAAGAGGACTATGGGGAAAAACACTTACCCCATAGTTCTCCTTTAATCTTAACATTATATATATATTATATATATTTTTTTAATACTGTAATTGCATGTGACAATTAGAGTTAACCCTTCAATGCCAATGATGTGCCCTACACAATGCAACAGTCAAAGAGTTACAACAAGCTCGAGGCATTAGCAGCTGTGAGCCTCTTTCCAAGTTTATCTACTAGCTCTATTATGTAGAAGTGATCTGGGCATCTGGTGTATCCGTGATGTGGTAAGTCAGTGAAAGAGCTTCCCATCCATCCAGTCCAGCTCTCAGATCCTGGCCAGCTGTGGCCCTGTACACAGTAAATCAGAGACTCTCTGTTCCCTATCAACTTGGCTTCTGCAGTGGAGCTGTTAGGGGTCTAATAGATCCCTGATGTCTCCAAAAAGAGAACCTGTCACCAACAGATTACTATCACATAGAGGGCTGGTCATCCCCATTATAATATTAATAAACTTGTTATATAATAATAGATCTCATACACACACATGCATTTGGGACATACGTGCATATACAATAAAAGTGCTGTCTACATAGCACATATTACATATTAGCACAACAGGAATAATTTTACGGCCATCCTTTATGTTTAACTCTAAGCGGATAAGCCGTTAAGGATTTTAATGCCTGTTTTGCCTGGATTTTAATGCCCTTTCCTTTTAAGGGGTGCACGCAATTTTCCTAATAAGGGGTGCACCAGGGGATCATGGGTGCAATGCTCTAGCTCCTGCCATCTCTTCCTCCCATTCATGTCCATATCAAGGTTCGGGTGAGTATATCTCTATCTAAGACCAAATAAGGGGTTAACCCTTGCAGTGTGCGGGTAGTCCTACTGCATGGGTTCATTCTTCTACAACCTGGAATTCATCTGTCCCTGTTGAATATCGGTTTCCCAGCTCATATATCACTACAGGACATAGCAGTCAATGGAAGCAACCAAAGCATGCAGCAGGGGGAGATGGTATTCGATCCTCCCACATCAGGCACCCTTAGTTATTTGTTCAATCTTTGAAAAAAAGCCAAGACTTTTTTTTTTTTACTTACCAGAGTCAACCAACAAGTGATCCTCTGCAAGGCCTCTTCAACCTGTATAGACTACAGTCCACCACTGCAGTCCATACCTACCACCGTCTGGTCTTGTTTCCACCCCTTTCTGTGATGTCATCACATCGCTAAAGTCCTCTGGACCCTGGGAGGACTCTGCCAAAGGACAGCCAATGACGTGTCAACATCACCAGAAGAGGGAACCTAAGGAAGGACCCTCCAATTCTGTAGTCCAGAAGAAAGAAGGCTTGTGTGACCTGACATGTCATGTGACCTTGGAGTTACGTGTGTTTTTGGGGCATTTGGGTGGATTTTTTTAGACTCCAGAAAAAGGAGAACTAGTCATTGCTCTCCTTTACTGAGGAAGCTGAAAGACTGATTCAGATGATTATGTTGGATTGTCTTTGATTTACAGAAAGTAATAGTTACTAATTTTAGTCTGAAGTTCCTCAATGTTTTATACTTTCATTTGTAATGATTCTTATTCTAGAAACTGCCCTGCTGTCCTACTAGAAATGTCAAATACATCTCAAAAAAGAAATATATTATATATTGTGGCAGTGCATGGCAATGCCACGGTGTAATATGGGAACTTTGGCACCCAGGACTCTAAGCCAGAGGGGCTGAGAGGTTCCACAATGTGAATTCCTTTGGAGATGGTGGGATGGGATGGGATCTCCAGTCCCGGGGCCAGGTGTTGCCAGTGGCCAGGTTGGGCTGATCAGGTGGCTGAGAGCAGCCTTATTAGGAAGCCAGCCCAGTGCGACAGGCAGAGTCTGTTTGTTGTCGTGTGACTTCCTAATAAGGCTGCTCTCAGCCACCTGATAGTGACAACTGAGAGGGGAAGTGTTATCTGGAGTGACCAATCGCGCTTCTCTGTCTGGCAATCCGATGGACGTGTCTGGGTTTGGCGGTTGCCAGGAGAACGTTACTTGCTGACTGCATTGTGCTAAGTGTAAAGTTTGGTGGAGGGGGGATTATGGTGTGGGGTTGTTTTCAGGGGTAGGGCTTAGCCCCTTAGTTCCAGCATCAGCTTACCAAGACATTTTGGACAATTTCATGCTCCCAACTTTGTGGGAGGAGTTTGGGGATGGCCCCTTCCTGTTCCAACATGAATGCGCACCAGTGCACAAAGCAAGGTCCATAAAGACATGGATGGGGGAGTTTGGGGTGGAGGATAGAACACCTTTGGGATGAATAAGAGCGGAGACTGTGAGCCCGGCTTTCTCGTCCAACATCAGTACCTGACCTCACAAATGGTCCAACATTCCCATAGACACACTCCTAAACCTTGTGGACGCCTTCCCAGAAG